ATTATTTTATTATGGGGCCGGATCGACATAGGGCCGGATCGACGTGGGCTGGGTCGAATTGGGACGGATCGACTTTGGGCCGGATCGACTTGGGGCCGGATCGATTTAGATAAATGATACCATGGACTCCAATTTCAATTGACTAAGATTGCCCGTTTCCTGCCAAAGATAGGTGGTTCTCTCTGTCATTCGGCCATTCTTCACCAATAAAGACTGGCTACCACGAAATAGTCAATAGTGCTGAAAGTGGCGTTAAACACCAATTTAGCAATCAAGTAAATGTTTGTTCATAATAAAGACAATAATTTTATTTCTTTCAAAAAACTAAATTATCCCATTAAAATGAAATATTTAAATCTTACTCTGTATTTGAAAAACAAGTAAAATGTCGTCATTTATTTTCAACAGTCCCACAAAAAATTTGAGTTTGTTACTTTTGGTAACTATATGGACAGATCATTTGCATTCATACTAAGATAGGATAAATATATTATCTTTTGGTCCCAGTTCTACCTTAGAATTGAATATCATACCAATTTTGTTAAGCTTTAGTTTTTTCCCTTCGAAATACCCGTCATGTTGTTCTGTGTTTAAAGCAAAGGTTGACAGGGAGAGGCGCACAGTTGGTTCCTTTGGGAATAATTTGATGTTTTAGAATGAAAGCACACAATTATATTCCCCATTTAAAGTTATGGTGAAGGTATAAAGAGGAAGAAACGAGCGACTTAAGATTTTCAGTATCATACTCAAATAAGTTTGGATTTCGAATTTGGTTAGATTTTCTCATCACTTGGCCTCTGGCGTTCATCGTCGTCGTCGTCAGCCGTTTTGTTAAATTTTACAAAAATCTCTGAAACTTGTGGGCCAAATTTAACCAAACTTGGCCACCGTCATCATTAGACTTGTGGGCCAAATTAAACCAAACTTGGCCACCGTCGTCATTAGGGTATCTAGTTTAAAATGTGTCCAATGACTCCGACTGCTAACCAACATGGCCGACATGGTTAAAATAGAACATAGGGGTAAAATGCAAGTTTTGTCTTTTATCTTGAAAACTGCTATAAATAGAGCAAATCTGACGACAGGATTAATAGTGTGAAGAATGGTGATATCTACGTATTGTGTTTACATCAGAACTGTCAGAGGACTTCTGATAGAAGTTAATGCACAATTTTAACAATTATTCATTTTTGCCAATTATCTTCAAGAATATAGTAGACAGAGAAAAACTTTTCAAACAAAAAGAGACCAACAAGACAAGATCTACAAATAAATTGATATAGTCGAAATCATCGGACGACTCCTTATTGGAATTATTGCCCTTTAATGACGATTTTTGTTTTTTTTTTGCGTTTTGCCTAATATCTGAAAAACTATCATAGATATATAGAAACTTAAATAAGCAAAAATCAGCACGACAAGATCTATAAATAAGTAAACATGGTTGAATTCATCTTACAACCCCTTATTGGAGTTGCTACCCTTTAGAGCTAATTTCCTAATGCTTGGTTGGATTGCTTCCTTTGTTTCTATAAACGTTTGCTCAAGCATTAATGTAACTAAGATTGACATCTGCAAACAATATAAATAGGCGGAGTTAAACCTGTATACATTATACTTAAATTTGATGTTATCCTGGAGGTTAGGAATCAAAATGTAATGTATACAGGTTTAAATACGCCTATTTATATTGTTTGTAGATGTCAATCTTAATTACAATGCTTGAGCAAACATTTATACAAACAAAGCAAGTAAGCAAACCAAAGTCTTACTCTACAAACATTAGGAAATTAGCTCTAATGATAATTTTTACCAAGTATTTGTGTTTTTGCCAAATATCTGAAAAAACTATTATAGATAGAAACTTAAATTAGCAAAAAGACAAGATTTACAGATAAGTGTACGGTTTGAAATTGTCAGTACATTTTTAGTTTTCTGCCTCTTATTTTGAAAACTATTATAGATAGATAGCCAGACAAGCATGCTAGATCTACAAATAAGTCAAATTTTGTCAAAATTTTTAGTAGATTCTTTATAGGATGATTGCCCTTAAATGACAATTTTTATCCTTTTTTGTGTTTTGTGCAAAAACTAAAGAAGATAGAGAAAAACTGCAAACAGGAAAAATTATCAGCAATACAAGATCATCAAAAAAGAGATTTTTGTCATGAATTCTATTCTAGTCTTCAGTGTTGGAGAGTTTCCATTGTTGAAGATGCACATAGACCTAGGCAAGCGACAGTTTATTAGATATTGTTTCCTAAGTTTACTCTATAGTCAATGTTCTGAGAAGTAATGACTGTTCTTTGTAACTGCATTCTAGTCCTTTAAAATGTTATATGATAGCACATTCCAGAAAATTGGTCAACTATCAGAACAGGATTTTTTTAAATAGTTTATCTAAATCGAATAAGACAACACATTCGTGCATAGCTAAATTAAAGTAGGTATCATAAGTAAATCATTACCATTTACTCCATGTATCTTGTTTACCAAAATGTTCCCTGTATCATGGAACCTGACACATTATTCGATTGGAACAACAGTAACACGAGTACGACGCCTGATAAATTTGAATCTCAGAGAACGACCATTTACCTTCAAGGGGGGTTATGGTTTTTTCCTAAAAAAAAATATTCTGATCCCCAATTTGATGAAAAAAATATTGTGGTCAAGCAGATGACAAAAAAAAATATTCTACATCCAGATTTTCCACATATCTTATAGTGTTAAATTTTGAAAAAAAAAATTGTTGACATAACCCCCTTGAAGTTAGATGGTTGCTCCCTTAGGTAAGTCGCCTTTATGCTAGAGTCAGTATAAAATTCTTAGGTGGAGAGTTGTCTTATTGGCAATTATACCACATCTTCTATTTTTATATATACTTGATATTTTCATGCCCGTACAGCCGAGGATAACGATTACATTTTTATATCTGATGATTTAACTGGTTCTGACTTGGGTATTTGTAAACTTATAAAAGAAGTATAAAAATACTATGGTAGTCAGTTATTTGATTTTTACAAGGAGAACAATCTGTTTATCATTTATAGAGGATTCAAAAGCGTTTTGTAAACGAAATTAAATGAGAGGCGAAAGATACCAAAGAGACATTCAAACTCATAAGTCGAAAAAAACTGACAACGCCATGGCTAAAAAAAGAAAAAGAACAACAGACACACATAGTACACAAAACACAACATAGAAAACTAAAGACTGAGCAACACGAACCCCACCAAAAACTGCATGGGGGTGATCTCAGGTGCTCCGGAAGTAACATGTGTTTTTGATTATTGCATACGCGATCTAGTTTCTTTAATTTTTACGAAATCTTTTAAAATGTGTATTCTGACATTCATTCCCTAATTCAAGCAACAACAAAAAAAGCTCTATGAAAAGTCGAAAAAAACAGATTATGCAAACAAGCGAAGGAAACTATGTCGACAAAATAAACAAACGGTATCTTGGAAAAAAAATGCATTTTTTAAAGATTATATTAATACTGAAACAAATGACAACGTGCTTAAAAACGTCTGATTAGAATATACTCAGAATATCAATGATTCTACTGATCATAAAATTTCAAATATTTTTATTGATTCTGTTGCAAAATCGACCAAAACAATTGATTTCAATGCACCTAACAAAGAGCAACCAAATTGAATACCAAAAACAAGCCCTGTTTGATAGTTTGAATTCAGACGTTCGATACCCCCTTAATGTAACGATAAACAATTGTAAAATGTTTTTGATAATACAAATAGAGCAATCATGCAATGGAAACTTTGTAAAGAAAATAAAAAAAAAGTTTTGAAAAAAAATACAATTTTCAAAGTTATATTGATATCGAAACACGCTATGAAAATAACTATAGCATAGTTTACCCAAAATTTGATTCATTCTACTGCTAATGACATTTGCAATATTGTCATTGATTCTGCTGCAAAAACCGTTCGGGACGAAGACATTTAATTTCTATGTTTCAAACAAAGAGTCACAAAATACCCGAAAACAAGCACTGTTATAAAGTATGTATTCTGAGGTTCAATCCCGTCTTACAGCTCTTCTACAAAAGCATGCAAAGCAAACCTTTGATCAACTTGCTTGCTATGTTTGCTTGGATGTTTGCAAACAATAGGTAGGCGGAGTTTCAGTCTGTTTTGTATATACTGGGATTTGATAAGACAATAAAAATTGACATGCAATGAAGTTAATGTTTATTGTCCAATCAAATTCCAGTATATAGTAAACAGACGGAAACAGACTACCTACCTTTTGTTTACAAACATCCAAACAAACATAGCAAGCAAGTTGATCAAATGTTTACATTGCATGCTTTTATGGAAGAGCTGTAACGTAACGATAAAAAAACTAATATTTCCAAGTGAAATTGCGATAAAGGATACGACCGAACGAAGAAATTCTGCTTCATATCTTGATCTTTTCCTCGATATTGACACAGATGGACGACTTCAAACTAGAATCTATAACAAAAGTAATGATTTTAACTTTCTTGCCTCCCATTTCTCAGCAGTAAACATGCACACTGCTCCATCGTATGGCGTTCACATATTATTTAATACGTTAAGAAAAATATTACAGTTCTGCTTAATCTTGAATATAAAAATCAATTTGATAATTGGCAGGCTGGCTTCCGTTACCTCACAAAATCCTGATAAGAAGGAGTGTTCATAGGGAACATTTGTAACAAATGAGTGCAAAATACAACAGTTACAGTTATACATCATACATAAATACAAAATCTCATTTATCATAGTAATGTATACATTTGTAACAAAACGATAATTTTCATAATCTACCCAATTCATAATGATGCTTTATTGATGAACAGGGCAAACAAATAAACCAATACGAGAATTTAGAATTTGATAATGGGGATGTTAAAATTTTTTCAGTTTCAGATGAAATTTAAAAATTCCCACACAAGTAACTTAAATAAGGTTAAGGTGAGCTATATATTAACTCACTTCCGGCTTCCTGTTTACTATCTGATCTGTTCTTGTTTAAGGAACAGTGAAATACTTGGGCATGGTGTTGTAATACACTAAATGTTTAGCAAAGTATTTATTACTCGGGTATTATTTTTTTAAGTAACAATTCAACGACGAACACATACAATCAAATGAGAATTCCGAAATACGAAAAGGGATATTAAGAACAATAGTGTAAATTTAACAGGTTGGGAACAACCCCCCAAATGACAATATACAAAAGACACTTTCATTGGCACGAATAAAAACATCATGACCAAGAGTATTATTGAATGCAATAAGTTGATTCAGATATTTCTTAGAGGTCAAAAGATAACTTCAAATTGACACATCCTCATACATGTACAATGGACAATATGAAAAGGGTTTGTTGAATATAAAAAGAAGATGTGGTATGATTGGCAATGAGACAACTCTCTACAAGAGACCAAATGACACAGAATTAACAATTATAGGTCACCGTACGGCCTTCAACAATGAGCAAAGCCCATACCACATAGTCAGCTATAAAAGGCCCCGAAATGACAAATGTAAAACAATTTAAATGAGAAAAATAACGGCCTAATTTATGTAAAAAATAATGAACGAAAAACAAATATGTTACACAGCAACAATTGTTGAATGCAGATTTTCAATTGCTTATTTTGTAAATTTCAGTTCTAAATGGCTACCTCTGTACATTGTGACCCCTGTTTACGAAACGAACTGAGTTCAAAAGCAGTGAAAGTGTGCACAGAATGCGAAGAAGCAATGTGTCAGCTCTGTGTTAAAGCTCACCAATCTTTCAAAGCATTCACGTCGCATCATTTAGTGAATGTTGACGTTTTACCCCAATCTGTCTTCACTTCAAAGCAATATTGCCAAATACATACCGAGAAAGTTCTTGATTTGTTTTGCACTCAACATGACACGTTGTGTTGTCGATCTTGCATGACCAACAAACACAGAAACTGCGATTCAGTACTTCCATTAGAAGACGCTTCTAGAAATGTAGACAAATCAGCCATTTTAGTTGACACAAAATGTGAACTTGATGGAATAGCAGACACACTCAGGATATTTGAAAAGGATAGGAAATCGGCATCAAGTGAGGTAGACGACTCTGCATCAATCGCAACTTCAGAAGTCACTAATTTGAAAGATCGTATTCTCAAAAGAATTGATGAAATGGAGGAAAACATAATTACTGAAATTGAGGATATGAAAACAAAACATTTCTTTGAAATAAATTCAACTCACGAAGAGATTAAAGAAATGAAAGAAATGATTGACCGCTTGAAACAAAATTTGGAATCAACAACAAAATTCGGTTCCAACAACCAGAAGTTCGTGATGATTCATTCGTTAAAAACGAAAATAAAAGAATTACAAGACAGGCTGCAACATCTACTATTATCAACAAGATCCGTTGGTATCACATTTTCACCGACTATGGATATTCTTCCATCCACAAAATTTGGTTTGATCAAGGAAAATAGAAAACCATGCACTATTGTTCATCATATTTCTACCAAGATGCAAGCCCCAATTGTACCAAGAAAATCATCTACGTTTAAACTCACGAAAGAGTTTAACCCTATTGGTTCAATTATTACTAGTGCTGTTATTATCCCAAAAAACAAGCTACTCGTATGTTTTTTCAATGAATCTGCATTAGGTGTAATTGATGAAGACGGAATAATTATTAAAATCCAAAAAATTCAAAGCAACCCATGGAGTATAGCTATAATACCGGACACAGATGAAGCCATCGCAATTTTGACACGAGAGAGGTCGATCCAGTATGTCAAAATTGAGAACTTGGCACTAGAAAAGAAAGTATCAGTTAAGGAGAAGTTTCCTTGTGAACTACGCGGCATTGCAGTAACAAAGGACCGGATTGCGTTTGGTGGCCATGGAAAAGTTTACTTGTGCAACATGAACCTGGACCTTATAACACAACTGAACGTTGACTCATTTACTGTATATCACTTACATTTCGATAACACTGACAGATTATGCTGTGTATTTAAAGTAGGCAGAGTAATATATCGTTTCCTTAAAACAGAAAAGTTGTCAATGAAGTACAGTTTAAAAGACTTTCAAAGCTTATGTGGCATAACGTCCGACAAATACGGTAATTTATTGATAGCAGATACACAAACAAACTCAATTATAGAAGTAGGCTCGAAAGGAGAATATCACAAACAAATTTTGAAAGGAGGAGATGGTATAAATAATCCAAAAACAATTATCTTTAACAAAACTTTTACAAAGTTATATATTTTTAACACAAATGGTAGTGTTCAAATTTATGACTGTTGAAATTAAATAGAATCAAAATGAATTTAAAATGACAAATTTTGGAACATAAATGACACCACAGGATCATTGTTATGTTTTATGTTTTTTTGTTGATATCATTGTCGTCACAAATAGAATTGCGGAATGATCAGTACAAATTATATGAATTGGTTGCATATCAACGAAAAAATGTGCGTTTTTCTTATCTGGGCGTTTTTTTCAAAAAAATGTCCACTTTCTCTGTCCAGGGCTAAAATTGTGATACAATCATATATATTTTAACATTTTTTGGTCTCAGTCTATAAATTGTACTTATTAAAGACAACGATAACACGTTTTGTTTGCTTTGTGGTAACGACTCTCTGAAAAAATCAGACCAAAGGGCTCAAAAAAAGCAAAAACGCTCTGTCCACATTTGAAAGTTTACTTAAATTTTTTAAATTTCATACAATTTACCAATCTTTTTTGTGCTTTTTTCAATGTTGAAAGCTGAAGCTCGCATTACACCTGTTTCTTAGCCTCGTACAAATACAGCTGAAATTTAAAGACACTAAACAGTTATTGTCTATATAACATAAGAGTATGTTACTATGTTCACACCATGATGCTGCTGGTGGTCATAACTAGGTATATCCTAATTGTTCAATATCACTATAATTAATTTTATACAATAAAGATATATAGTATAAATTTCGTTGGAACAACTGCCAAACAGGGACCAAACGGTACGAAACGACTATTTACATATATATTTATATAGGTGATGCCTTCTAGAATGTTATGTTTTACATTATTCTGAAATCACCTTATTCGATATCTTTCCCAATTGTCAATGTTTACTGAAATCATGCATTTACTTTGTAATTGCATTCTGACCCTTTGAAATGTTACATAATACCACATGCCAGAATACTTTTCGAATATCAGAAATAGGCAAACAATTAAAAAAAAATAATAGAAAAACAAAGGATATGGGGTATCCATCCATGACACAAAAGCAGTACATGCAAAGCAAAAAAAAAAAATCACACACGAAAAGCAAAGGAACAGCGCTTTTGTTGCTATTCTTTATCTCAAAGTCACAGTGAGGCCTTCAAGACGGAGCAAAAACACTCTCAAATTACAGCAAGTTTAAGACGCCCCCTAGCACCGGCTTGAGCGGAATTCTTTGCAAAAATAATTTAGATAGTCTTTGTTAGATGTAACACCACCAAATCGGGCCCGGTCAAAAAAGAACATACGGGAAAGAGGTACCTATTTTAAAACAAAATAGTTCCTACGCATAGGTGTAAATATAAAACTATGTAGAATATTTTTTAGTAATTAAGGTATCAGAGGAAAGGTGATTGACTGGTGATCCTTGTAGAACACATATTGACTGATAATTTTGAATAATACAAAAATGTATGAATTAATTCGAAACCTGAGGGCAGGGATTGCCAGTTTCTTAGTTTATTTCAAAGCAAAACAGACGATAATATCAGACATAGCTACATGTGATTATCTTTGTGTCCAGGAAAATACAAATTCAGGAAACAAAAAGTAGGTTTAAGAATTGTAATAGATATCATAGTTCCTGATTTATTCATTACCATTTTCTCCATGTATCACGTTTACCAAAAAGCTTCCTGTATAAAGGAACCCGACTCCTATATAAAGATGAAAGCATAAGGCATTCTACAACTACATGAATGATAAAAAAGAAAGATGCAGTTATTTATACGACATAGATCACTGCAAGGCAGCACCCAAGAAGAAATGACATCAAAAATGAATAGCTAGAATGTATAAAAAATCATCATTTTATCATAATTTAGTCTAAGGAAATTTTACAACTTTAAAAAGTCCTTATTACAATAAAAATCTTACGCTTTCATTTCCTTGTAAATTTTATTTCCAAAGTAGTACCATTCAACCACTGGCAATTAGCATTATAAAAAAAATTATGGCAACATATTGAATTTCAGTGATAGTACAACTTTTTTCAATGATCAACTTGTATCTAACACGTTTTTGATTTATGAAAAAAACAATAAACAATAAACAAATATGATATACAGCAACGAACAACAACCACTGAATAACAGGCTCCTGACTTTGGACATGCACATACAGAATATGTCGGGTAAAACATGTTTTCGGGCGCACAACCATCCCCTAATGTGGGACAGTGGTGTAACAGCACAAAAAAATAAACTTGCAATTTTGATGCTCGCACAGCCGATTATAACGATTAAATTTTAATATCTGATGATGAAACGGTTTCTGGCTTATTAAACTTAACGAAAAAAAGAAACATTTCGAAACAAAATGCTTTTTTATGGATAAAGCAAACAATGCTACCTGATTTTAACAAGGGGAACGATATGTTTATTATTTATTGAAGATTCAAAAGCGTTTTGTAAGCGAAGTTGACACACCGAAACAAAAGCAATTTAGTTTATTTTACAAACTCGTATTGACTTTAAATCATAGATTATAAAATTTGCCTCCTAATGTTCATTCCCTCATATATGCAACGGTATTAAACTATATGAAAGGTCGAAAATGCAAAATGAGCAAAAAAGCCAAAGAAACTATGTCGAGATAATAAACAAGCGGCATTTCGAAAATGAATTGCAATTTTTGAAAGTTATATTGATATCGAAAAACAGTTAATTTCAATGCTCCAACAAAGAGCCACAAAATATCGAAAACAAGCCCTTTTTAATAGTTTGTATTGTGACATTCGTTCCATCCTCAACATAACGATAAAAAGCTGTAACAGACTCGAAATACAAATAGAGCAAACATGCCAAGGAAACTTTGTCGAGAAAATAAACAAAAGTCATTCAAAAAAATTGCAATTCTCAAAGTAACATTGATATCGATACAAATGGAAAACGTACTAAAAAACATCCGTTTATAATTTAGACAACATTTGATTCTACTGCTGATGAAATTTCAAAAACTTTCATTGATTCTGCTGCATAATAACGTTTGGGACAAGAACATTCAATTCCAATGCCCACAAGAAAGAGCCACAAAATACCGAAAAGCCCTGTTTGAAGTCTGACGTTCATTCCCTCCTTTATGTAACAATAAAAAGTTCTAACAAAGGTCAACATTACTACTTGAACCGGTATTATAGTGGGTTTTAATTCATAGCTATTGACTGACTTATTTTTGTACTCATATAAAGCAGAATTCATACAAAACCTTCTGAAATAAAACAATTAAAATAACATTTTGCAAAGTTTTTAATTTCGCTTTCAGATATATTGATGATTTCCTATCACTCAAATCACAGATAAGAATATGTGGCCTGATTAACAATGACACAATTCTCCATCAGAGACCAAAATGACGTAGAAGGTTAGCAACTATACGTAAAGCCTTTAATAATGAGCAAAACCCATACCGAATAGCAAGCTATAAAAGAACTACGAAATGACAAATGTAAAGCAATTCAAACTAGAAAACCGTAGCGGCCTGATTTATGTACAAAACAATAAATGAAAAACAAATATGATCTACAATAACAAAACGACAACCACTGAATTGCTGGCTCCTGATTTAGGATAGGGACATACAGAATGAGGCGGGGTTAATCATGTTTGCGGGCGAGACAACCCTTCCCTTACCTGGGACAGTGGGGTTACAGCACAATAATAACACACTATAAAAATCAGTTGAAAAGAGCTAAACTCATCAGATCTATACAAAGCACAAAAACAGCTAACAAAAACACAAAAGACACAACTTACAGATCTGAGAATACTCGCAGTTACCAACACATTAATAATTTTACAATGAGTGCTTACATCTCCTATATCCCAGTAAACTAATCTTAAGGATTAAAGATTAAGGATACGACCGAAAGTACAAAATTTGCTTTATATCTTGACCTTTTCCTCCATATTGACACAGTTTGACGACTTCAAACTGGAATGTAAAACAAAATGGTAATTTCAACTTTCTAACTTCCCACTTCTAAACGGTAACATACCCGCTGCTCCATCGTATGGCGCTTACATATCTCAGTTAATGAGTTACTCTCGTGTTTGTTGACACTATACGGAATTCATTTACAGGGGTGTGTTTCTGACACACAAAAAAATGCTCAACAGAGTAACGAGGAAGAATGACTGAAATCGACACTACATAGTTTTTACGGTCAGCCCCATGAACTAGGTGGCTGATACGATGTGTCGGAGTCTTATTATTTTTAACACTGATAGGAAACATAACAGGACAATTTTCCATGTTAAAATAATTATCAGTTTGAAATGCTACATTTCTATTTCGTTATGAAAATAACATTTCTACTATTCATAACAGTTGATAAATCCATTTAGTTGCAAATACAATGGAATGAATAAACGACTTCACTTCTTTGTAAGATTTAGGTATATGATCAGCCATGTCCTATAGAACTGAAGAACTACAATAAAACAGTCATATGTATTGATATTATGTTGACAAGTGTTAAAAATGCACGTAAAAGGTAAGGACGTAAGCAAATAAGAAACTTTTAGCATTTAGACAAAAAAAGCATAAGAGAGGCGAAAGATAACAAAGGGACATTCAACATTTTAAGTCGAAAACAATGTCATGGCAAAAAAAACGAAAAACGACGAAAAGACAAACTATGGTACACTCAACTTAAAATTGAAAACTAAAGACTGAGTAACACGAACCCCATTAAAGACCGAAAGTGATATCAGGTGCTCTGGAAGGGTAAGAAAATCATGCTCCTCATGTGGCATCCGTCATGTTGTATAAAGAGGGAAATAACATAATAAAACTACAAAAGTTGTTGTCCATGTGGTCCATGTGGTCATGTTTTACACTGATGAGTCTTATGTAGACCAAACGCACGTCTGGCGTACAAAATTGTAAGCCTGGTATCTTTGATTATTTTTTTTAACAATATCTATGGCCAACTTTATAAAGAAAATATCTTTGTCAATTCATTTACGGTAAGATAAACACATAATTTTAAAGGAACAATTATTGTTTTGTTTTGTGTTATTCTTTTATGTTGAGTATAAACACAATGGTCGATTATTGGAATAATATTTGACACACAAATGAAATATGGTAAGAAAGTTTACATTTGAGATATAAGAATATAAAAAAATAGTGCCTTGAATTGGGTACAAAGGTCTCGTGAGCACCTTATGTGAACCATAACTATTAGTGTGTGATTATATCGTTCAAATAATCAGGTATAATTTTGTACTACATTTTGATATTGCTGTGTATTAATAGTATTCTCAAATAAAACAAATTCCATATCAGATTAAAATTATATGGATAGATTATTACAATACAATATTAAATGATTTAAAACCCGTTTCTTTACAATTTAGTTTAAGAACCAGTAAACATCATACATTAATATTCACAGAGTATTCTGCAACTTTACGCAAATTTGAAAAAAAAATTCTCTGTCTTTGCTGATAAATTATCCTTTAACTTGAAGGACACCATGGCTACTAACAGAAACTGTGATCGCTGCCAGCTGAATGGAAAATCAACACTAGGAATAATGAAATGTAACGAATGTGAAGAAGTATATTGCATGGATTGTGTAAAATCACACCCGTCACTTAAAACCTTTACATCTCATCAATTGAAATCTATCAGTAAGCAGGATAGATTAACAGATAGTGACACTGGTAATGATCCGATCAATGGTGTTAGTGATATTTTACACAGACTTAAACAGATGGGAGAAGACCATGAAACACAAGTGTTCAGACATAAAATAAAAGAACAATGTATCGCTGAAAAAATTTCAAGAACTAAATTTCAGCTTCTTAGCCAGTTAAACAAATTGGAGCCAAATACAACACTTATTAGTGGCCATGAAGATAGAATTGAGCACATGAAAAATGAATTAAAACAGTGAAATACAATTAGAGAACTTAAGGTATTTGAAGAAGAATATTTTACAATCAGTTCTGTAAACTGAATTGTATGCTTTGTAAGAATTCATATTATTAAAGAATATTGATGTAAAAGGACTTTTGTAGAACATTACTGAATGTGCCTAAAGCAAGCACGAACTATCCGGATGCATTCTTTTGTGGGAGACTTAACTTATGGTGCGTCAGATTATTTTTATAATAATTACAATTTTGATACATGTCTTATGCCATACTAAAATCTATATGGTTAGATTTTTCTAAATTGATTATTTTACGCATAACGTCATCTATTTGATACTGAAGATTTTAAACTGGCTTTATTTAAACGTTCCTCATAACCTATAAGATATTGAAACGACAAACAATATAAGAATCTGAAACTCTTTCAAAATCAATAACACATTTTAGTTCAATAGTTGATTTTTTTAAAATCTGCTCACATCTTCTTGCCAACTGGTTCTTTATTCTTATGACATACCATTTGAATTAACAATCTGTGTAGAACATAGGTATATCATGCTTATATGTATTTGTAATGGGATATCTGGTTCTTAAAAACATTTGGATTGTCTTCCTTTGATAAGAAGAAAAAAATCGATACATCACCTCAAGTTTGTTTAGAATTCACTTGTAAAGATGATGATGCTTATGATGACGGCACAAGCGGCAAATTTAATGTATTCTCATGAAGAGAAAATGTTAATGTGATATGAATATGAACCCTGATTTGTACAAGATCGACATGCATAGCCAGTTTTTAAACGTGCTACTTCACTGGAAGAACCTTACCGGACACATTATTTTCTGACTCAGGGCCGACCAGTATTTGCTCTTACTCCTAAATTCCACGTGCTTAGAGGAGAAGCGGAAGATCAATTTCAAAGCCTTTCGTTTGTATTGATCCCTTGTTTTGTTTCTTCCTAATCGATTTACAAGACTTGAATATCGGTAAACTATTGTTGTCATAATTTGGTTTGACCCAAACGGGGATCGAACCAACGACATCTAATCAATAATAAGTATTGACGATGTTAATGACTTGGGACATTCCCCACACTTTTTATCCTCGATTAGTGAAATAAATGACGGAAAAACATACACAAGGGGGTCTGGATGAGATTTACAGAATAGAGAATAATGGGCAAAAAATAAATAATAGAGAACAAAAAATAATAGAGAAAAAATAGGCAAAAAAATAAGAGAAAAAATGGCGAGCCAAAATATAAAAAAAGGGAATAATGGGGGAACAAAGAGGACAAGAAAACCCGTTTCTGGCACAATTTTTCGGAACTTTTGTTTTTCAGTCAGTTTATTTCAACTTTTTTTTATCTTGGTTGCTAACTGTTTTAATTCGAGTGCCACTTATGAGTCTAATGTAGACGAAACGCACGTTTGGTGTTCCAAATTATAAGCCTGGTATCTTCTATGAGTTATTATAACCACTAGGCCAATACCACTGCTGGTTGACTATTCTTCAATGAGGGTTTCAATAGCCCCAAGTAATTAACACCTTCGTTTTGGATTGGAATATCTGTTTGTGTTCATTGTCTGTCAATTAACTGTGTATAGGATGTTGAATTATTCAAAACACTTAGGTTCTACCAACAGGCATAGATTGCCGTAGCCGTATTTGGCAAAGCTATATGGAAATTTTGGTTTTCGATCCTCCTTCCTATTTGATTTGGTTTTCCAACTGTTTTGATTCGTGTGCCACTGATAAGTCTTATGTAGACGAAACCCGCGTCTAACGTACCAAATTATATAGCTATCAGCCTAGTATCATTGATTTGTTTTCACATCAGAATAAATTCATACCTTTGGCAGATTACAATCCAAAATTTATGATAGCAACAACCTATACAAAAACTTTTGACTTTAAAACAAAATAGTATTTATATTCGTCCGAAAACTAAATTTTAGTATGAACACATATTTTTTTATAGATATATTGACTATATCGAAATTTGAAAATATTTGCATGTCAAATACAACTTTTCTGTCAAAAACAAAAACCCAACTTCGTAACAACCTGTAATTCAGTTGGTACAAGAAACATCTGAATGTCAACTGAAATAACACCTTAATATATGTTAAGGACAGAACTGTAAGTAGGTCATGATTTTCAGTTTTGTAACAAGGTACTCTGAATTTGTTGTATCTAATGGAAAACTATGATGAGTTATTATCATAAAAAAATCTGAAAAGATAATGTAACTACGGATACAAAACAGTATAAATTGTAGTTTTTTAGTTTTATCAAACAGGCAATAGAGGACATTTTCACTAAAACACTATATATAATTCACAAGTACCTGAAATTCCTCATAAAAAAATAAATGCACAAATATCAAAATTAAGAGTAACTTTAATTATAAACGTGGTACTGTACTTTTACTTGTGATCTGAAATGTATGTTCTTTATTAAATGTCGACTTTGTCTAACATCGATAAAACACTACTATGATATGATAATTGTTATATCAGTTGTGCCTTTTGGGTATTTACACTTTTATGGAAAGTACAGGATGATTTTAATTTCTATGTCCACTATATTGCGGTATCTTATTCTTTAGAAATTGTTTCTAAAACCGACAAGATGCTCATGTACCTGACATACGGAAATGTTCAGTATGATTAAGTTGCATGTATGATTTAAGAAGATCATCAGATCTATTTCTTCAATTTGAGCAATATCAACCTTACAGACTTTTCAAAACTTTTATCCTTGGGCGTACCTCGACGGACTGAAATCGCCATACATTACTTCATATCTTCCGCGTAGTAAACGTTGGTATACATCGCTGTTGACCTATCCCGAATGTTTTGTCGGTGTAAAAATATCGTAAGAGATATACATGGTGTCCTCTCAAGTTTGGTTACTATGTAAATAGTATCATTCCCATTGAACTTGAAATAAAGGGATACTTTATTTACAGTTAGGTCTGCCTCAAATTTAGACATGCACGATTTAAACATTTACCTGCATAGATAACATATCCCTATTTGACACGATATGTTTGGTCCTCAATGCACTTTAGCTTCGTATTTTTTTGTATTTTTTAACTTTTATGATTCGAGCGTTACTGAGGCGTCTTTTGTAGACGAAACGCACGTCTGACGTACAAAACTTCATTCGGGTATCTATGATGAGATTATTTTCAATCACTGGGTCGGTGACACTGCTGCTGGAGGTTTCTTACCCGAGTATATCACCAACCCAGTAGTCAGCACTTCTGTGTTGACATGAGTTATCATTGATATGGCCATAAATATTAATTAACTGTTACAAAACTTTGAATTTTTCGAAATGCAAAGGTTTTTCTACCGAAGATTTCCTTAGCTTTATTTGGTAAAACCTTTCGGGTTTTTGGTTCCTCGATACTCTTCAACTTTGTATTTTATGTGGATTTTTTTCTACTTTTTTATTCGAGCGTCACTGATGAGTCTTTTGTAAACGAAACTTTCGTCTGGCGTACAAAGTTTTAATAATGGTATCTATGATGGCTTTATTTTGAAGGGCTAGAGTTTCCTGTCATGATTTCCTTAATAGGATGGCTGATGCTTACAATACAGGCACTGTATCAGGGGTACTTTCTGGTATTTGATTGGAAGTGATCGCTAAGAAAGTTTTATTACGATTTGGATGACCGCTATGGAATTTCTTTGTCACAAATGACCATTAAAAAAATATGAGTGTATCTCAAGATGTATTCCTCGGTGTAAAGAAGTCAATTTGAAGAATAACATTTTTATTAAAGCTTATCGAAGAAAATACCCTAATGACATAATTTGAATTTTTTTAGATATAACGTCATAACATTTATATATATACAGTTAACAATTTACAAAAAAGATATAATGACAATATATACAAAATGATTATGAAACATTGCAACAGCCCGGCAGTGATATTCTTCCTCCAATGTTTACTTGGTCAAGAGATGTATCGAGGTTAAGTATTACCATTATCACCATACTAAATTAGATTTGAATAAATGTAGGCTGAAGTAGTGTTCAAACCTCATATTATTTAAACTCAAGTCTTTTTTGAATATCTACAACTTTGGGTTCAAAATACATGATAATTTTTGTTCAATGTTTTCTTTTGATTTTGATAATGAATTTGAAGAGCAATCAACTATGATTTTTTACAAACTCTTAATGGATTTAATGACGTTAATGGATTTAACCTCGATACAGGGAAAATCTTGTTATTACATTTTCTTAAACATGCTTATATACTTAACTTTTTAACGTAGCACAATTATACAATTTTACATTCATTTAACATGCGAATAAATAAGATGTTGAAATTTTATTTCATGCATTTTTTCTTATAATTATTCTTCTTGAATAACACAGCGTGGAAAATGGAAAAATTACACAAAACATTAGCTTTTCTGTTACCTAAATTCAAATTATCATAAGATAATTCAATCATTATTGAATATATCATATATGTCTCAATGTAAAATTTAAATCAAGTGAAAATGATAACAAATAAAATTTAAACAATCAATACCAATCAACGGATTTAATTGAAAAATTATCGTTATTACAGTTTTCTCGGAAGTGAATTTTTTCGATCACAAGCCTATCATCAATACATAAATGAATTGAAAACAGCTATCCTACAAAGTTTTACAGTCAAAAAAAGGTTGGTGTTACACTTTTTTAGAGAGTTTGATCAGTGAGCGTAACATTTCCTTCTATCTGATTAAAATGCAGATCCTGTTTACAAACAATGATTTGACAAGACTCCGCTTTACTTTCTATTCTTGTAATTATTTCATCAGCCAATGAAATTTCATCTTTCAAATTTTTGAAGGCGTGTATTAAACCGACAAAACCAGAAGATCTCGAGAGTTTTTTTAAACAGAAAGTAGAACGGAGCGTTGTCAGATCCTTGTAAGCAAAGCTTAGACACAGGATCTGTATCTTAACCAGATTGCATTTTCTTGTGATTAGATTTGCAATTCAAAAAAGATAGCCACAGACCAATAACGGCTTGTCTGCTTTGTCCTACTAACAAAGTGCTCATAGTGACAATACAATGATTTGTTTTATAGGAACAAAAGATCACAAGATATTACGTGTGAAGTAATTTTCATTAGATCAGAAAAATTAGTAAAATATCGTCCAGAAAACAAAATTTGTAATATGCGTTATTTGAACGTGCAAATTATTATCTGCATCACCGTTACCTTGACTCACAATCGACTTCAACATCATCTTGGCTCACCTGAATGAAATACAACCAATGAAAACGTTGCTGCGATTAACAAATAAAAAGAATCTGTAGTTTTTACAATAATTGTGAACTGTTATACAATGATTTAACTGAACAAGAACGAAAAATGTTAGTTACTTCGTTGACAGTTTTTTTGTTCAGTATTATATCAAATATCTTTGTAGTATATATGAACATAACTTATTACAAAACTATTAAAAAAAATAAAAGGAAAACTTGTAACAACTGAATAGAAATACGACCTATAATAACTATAACAAAATATAGTCGAATTCACTTAATCATATTATGATGCATACAACAATTCTCAACATGCCGTTTTTCTGTACATTCTATTCTCTTTCAGATTTTCTTGACCAGTAAACATATTATTAAGAATTAAACATGTCCGATATTTGTGGGTAATACACCGTTTCTTTTATAATTATTATTATTTCTATTTTGCGTATCTGAATGAACTGGAGAACTGTGTCCTGTTGAAGGAGTTCTCCCGTTTCTGGAGGAATTTCCCGAAGAAGATATTGAACTTGTCACTGAAAATCTTTGATTTCCCGGAATATCACCGTTTTTTAAAAAATGGCCATTTGGCAGATGTCCATTCTGAGTTGGGGTTTTTCCTCCGAAACTTGTTGGAGTTTGCAGTGGAAGAACGTTTCTTACCCGTGGTGAACCTAGCTTAGACGCTTGAAGTCTGCTTTTAATTATCTGAATTATTCCAATAACCAATAGTGTTGAAACGACGCCTGTGGCTACGCCAACGCCCATTCCAAGAGCAAAACCTGAAATAAAAGGCAAAACAAGCTTAAAACAGTTTTATAAAGGAGAAATAAATATTTTCCCCGGATAATAATTAAGTTGACAAATGTCATTATCTATCTGAAATAATTAGGCAGTAAAGTTATTTATTTTCGTCTTAATTCATGTTAAATCACCACTGGCGGATTCACAAGGGATGGATCCGGAGCTAGGATCTATCCTTTCATCGGTTTTGTGCTAGCATACACATGTCGACAAAAACTAAGAGCCCCTTTTTCAAGCAAATTATTTTTCTTCAGTGCCCTAATAAATTATAGAATTGGCATCGCTTTTCAGTCAGTAAATAGATGAAGCGCAATAAGTTTTAAAGGAGTTTTAAAGAAATTAAGGTGAAAATACATAACAAAATAGATAAAATTAAGGCAATAGTACTTTTCGACTAATGAATTTGAATATCCCTCTGGTATCTTACGCCTCTCTTTTATCGATGTTCAAATCACATAAATCTATTAAGAAGACAAATTAAGGTAGCTGATAAAAACTAAGGGAATCGCATGCACTCCAAAAGGAGCGTAAATAGGATAAGTGTCTCCTACTTTGTGTGCATTACCCGCCATGCAAATCAACACTAAATCAAAATGTTAGGGAATAGGACATTTAATAAAAAGATATCATCAACTAATTGAGATGTCTCACAAACTAAATTATATATATTATGTATTAAATAAGATATTATTAATCACAGCCCATAGGTACCTAAACGTACCTGAGCAAATCATCAATACGTACCTGAGCAGATAATCAAAAAAACAGACATTAGAGGAAATCAATGACATAGACAATAGAAGAAATCAATGGCATAGACATAAGAGGAAGTCAATGACACAGACATTAAGAGGAAATCAATGATATTGTACATTAGAGGAAATCAATGACATAGATATTAGAGGAAATCAATGACACAAACAACAAAAAAATCAATTACACAGACAATAGAAGAAATCAATGACACAGACAATAGAAGAAATCAATGGCACAGACATAAGAGGAAGTCGATGACACAGACATTAAGAGGAAATCAATGACATAAACATTAGAGGAAATCAATGACATAGATATTAGAGGAAATCAATGACATAGAAATTAGAGGAAATCAATGACATAGACATAACAGGAAATCAATGACACAAACAATAGAGGAAATCAACGACACAGACAATAGAGGAAATCAATGACACAGACAATAGAGGAAATCAATGACACAAACAATAGAGGAAATCAATGACACAGACAATAGAGGAAATCAATGACATACATATTAGAGGAAATCAATGACATAGACATAAGAGGAAATCAATGACATAGACAATAGAGGAGATCAATGACACAGACATTAGATGAAATCAATGACATAGATATTAGAGGAAATCAATGACATAGACAATAGGGGAAATCAATGACACAGACAATAGAGGAAATCAATGACATACATATTAGAGGAAATCAATGGCATAGACATAAGAGGAAATCAATGACACAAACAATAGAGAAAATTAATGACACAGACAAAAGAGGAAATCAATGACATAGACATTAGAGGAAATCAATGACATAGACATTAGAGGAAATCAATGACATAGATGTTAGAGGACATCAATGACATAGACAATAGAGGAGATCAATGACACAGACATTAGATGAAATCAATGACATAGATATTAGAGGAAATCAATGACATAGAAAATAGAGGAAATCAATGACACAGACAATAGAGGAAATCAATGACATAGACATTAGAGGAAATCAATGACATAGATATTAGAGGAAATCAATGACACAAACAACAGAGAAATCAATTACACAGACAATAGAGGAAATCAATGACACAGACAATAGAGGAAATCAATGGCATAGACATAAGAGGAAGTCAATGACACAGACATTAAGAGGAAATCAATGACATAGACATTAGAGGAAATCTATGACATAGATATTAGAGGAAATCAATGACACAAACAATAGAGGAAATCAATGACACAGACAATAGAGGAAATCAATGACACAGAAATTTGGGGACATATACGACATTACATACAGTAAAAGGCCTAATCAAATGTATAGCACCGACATATGATGTACCTGTTTCCTCAGATGCTGCTGTTTGAGTCGATACTGTTGTCGTTGAAGATACTGCAGAAAATTTGAGTTTAAAACCTTTGAATCCTACTGTAGCATCCGAAACAAACAAGAGTAAAACACTTGTACCGTTACTGGTGTATGTCGCCGTTGTTCCGTCTGGATATCTGGTGCAGGCATCTACTGTTAAAGTATGTTCACAAACATAGGAACCTGAAAAAGCGACAACGATTATTTTTTTTAACACTGTAGTAAGATCTTTGACTACGCTTTTTATCGGTCATAACATTGATTCTGTTTTTGATCCATTAAAACATAATTAAACATGTATTGCTTTACATTTATGAAAACATATGGACCTACATCCTGTCGACATTTATATACTTATATTTTGGCAATTGCACAAGGCCATGGTTTTCTCAAACTGTTTATGACGTCTTTACACTAAGTTCGTTTTATGTGTACTGTTTGGGAACTTTTATAGCTGACTATACGGTATGGATTTTACTCATTGTTGAAAGCCGAACGGTGAACTATAGCTGTTCAAATCCACGCCGAGTCATTTAAACTCTATTGGGTAGAGGTTTCATAAGCAATCATACCACATCTCCTCACTTTATATTCTCATTTTTTTTATAAAGACAATATATAAGAATTATTCCATCAAAAGCGTTTTGAGAAGTCCAATGTTTTACTTTAGTATAGATGTTAAATTAATAAAACTAAAGATAGACAAGAGTCAACAGCAAAACAGGACTAATTTTACAAGTATTAACATCACTCAGAATCAGGTATATGATGGTACATCATCTGAAATTGTCATTCTGTTATTCTTAAAAACAAAAATTGTATACACCAAGAATATTATTCTATTCTATAACATAAAATCCACTTACTGTCATATATTTTAAGGTAATCAAATCCACAGTTTGGGGACGATTCAATATCACTCAATAGTAATTCAAAATAAACTGTTCCCTCAGTTGCTTCAATTAACCACCGACAATTAGAATTTCTACAAAGAGAAAGACAGTTTAAAAAAAATATCCTATCTTGGGGATATAATGGATTAGACCTGAGTCTCACTGTTGTTTACGATATATATCCATTCCATTATAACAACGGATTCAATTTTACAGGTTTAAAATAAGCATGCATAGCAAAAGACGAAATTGAATAGTGATTCGGCAAAAAATCCTCCTGGCCCCCAAAAATTTCAAATGATCATCTTCTAATCATTTCGACTAGTGGCCTGGGACACCCTGTTTGGACAGTTCCATATATCAAATATCGCAGGGATAAACGAGAATAAGGTAAGGGAATAACGAAATGTGTGTGCTGTTTTCGAGTAACCTATCATATTTTTGATTTAGTACTACGAAACTCAAATACATGTATATTCCTATATCTATATATGAATAGATGAACTGCCGCGGTGTCCCCGGAACTTGACCAATTTTTATAAAACTTGGCATGACGAGCATAACTAAAGCGACATTTTTTGTCGAAATGCCCATCTGGTTCAGAAAAAAATGGTAACGTTAATGTTATTATAAACAAGTTTAGGGAATTATAACAATGTTGACCAAGTTTCATGGCATATGATTAATATTAAAGACAATAGGACCATTTTTATTTTTGAACTATGTGTGTTTATTTTTAACGTTTTAAACGAACAGTTTCAACTATCAAAAGGGGTAAGTTTGGTAAGTGTCATTTTTGAAATAGACATTTTTTCGTGCAGCTTTTCTTATAAAGCTTAAATATTTACAACCCAAATAGAACCAAAAGTAGATTTTGATGAAAATTGACAAAGTCGTCTGGATTTCTACCAAATTTAGGCCTAGGAAACATACAAAATGTAGAGTGCAGGTTTGGCACACTAAATATTCAAATCAGATATATAAAATGTTACAATAAAACATTTGTTTAAAGATCTTTCTTGTTTATGTTTAAAATATATCTTTTGCAGCAAATGAATCACACCTACCCCGTATAGCTGCTAGGGAATGCTGGCGATGTTAAATACTGTTCTGTGCTAGTCGCAGTGATCGTTTGTTCTGCTGTACAACCTGTGCCAGCTGAAACAAAGTATTATCATATAGGTTAGATGTTCACACAGAAACTAAAAAACTTTTAAAGCCTTGTCATCCGCATTCAATTTTTTTATATTTATTAACAGTTCTAAATTAAAAATACAACTTTGCGTTTATGAACAAAGAAAAGAAAGCAAAAAAAGATGTAAACACATTGATGTTTCATTCAGTTTATAGAATCATATCAATGGTCTTTCCTATAAGTTATATTCGTTGTATTCCTATCTGAACGAGTGGAACATATTTTATCGTTTTTATTTGTCAGAAAGTTAATTACTGTCATTTCCCAAAACATCATTTGTCCTCTAGCCTCTGTTGATACATGTATTTATGATCAAATCCTTCATATCTTATTGCAGCATTGTTTATACTTACACAAGTCTGCGGCTTTCAGATATTGCAAAGAAAATCCTTGTGCTTGTCCGGATGAGTCAGTGGTTAATACAACAAGCGCGTACTGACCCGTCGTCAAAAACTCTTTATCGTTTCCGGTACCAGTAAGACCAGACTTGAGTGATGAATTGCTTGTAGAAAATCCTAAAATACAAATTCATTTTCAAGTGTATTACTGTTTCTATCAATTGTGCAATAAATGACTCACAATGAGACTTTCTTACCTTTATTGATAAAACATGTTCCTGTGTTTTGTCGTCTACAATATCGATATTATTGAATAACGTGTTATTTTAGTTGGACTTTTACGTACAATTTCACTGTTTTATTTGACCTTCCACAGACTGAGACAAAAGTGGGACATCTGAATATGCACAATACTAGTTAATTAGACCTTATTTTTTTATGCTCCAAGTCAGAAGTCTCCTTCATGGCTATCGTTGTTTGTATGTGTACCGTTCTGTTATATTTAGAATTTATATCAAGATCCGATATTTGATCCCAGTTTATATCATGCAAATGTTGACGAGACTCAGAAATGTTCAGAGTATAATATGAAATGCGAGCACTTGTTCTTAACAAGTAGTATGCTGAACTTTTTATAAGAGTATTTTACTGGAGCATGTGTTTTTAAGTTGCTATATTGCCCGATATATCTTTTTATCTATACAATTCTTCTTTTACACTTAAAGGATTACGACTAAGAATACAATTCATAATTATTTGTAAGTCTAATTTAGTTAAGGGTGTGGACTGAAGTCAACAAAATATCGGACGGACTAAATACCCCGTCTTTGTTTGTGAATCTATTTCATTGTGAAGACCTCTAGGTATACAGAATGATTAATTAACATTCTATTCATAATTGAATTGAATGTTCTAATCACAAAAAGTAATTAATTAACGTAACCTCGTATTGACTTAACGCTCTGATAATGATTATGATTTTATAACTGATAACAAATAAAGCTCTTCTGCAATGAGTATACAAAAGTCTAAATTTAGCCATAGATTTGAGCAACCCAGTCCTGTTGTCATTATCAAAACTATCTTTGCGAACAAAATTTCATCAAGGTTTTTGACAGTGACAACAGTCAAAGGAACCTTGACGGAGTTTCGATGGCATAGAATATCATCTTCGGATAGACTTTGATGGGGATGTATCAATTAGAGTTGAAGTAAGGCATAATGATCAATTAAAAATAAAATAAAAACCCAAGCACATGGTGAAAGCGGTGAGAAAAGATGAACCGAATAGCAGACTGAAAAAACTTTCAGAAAAAAACGAAAAAGAGGCTTGATATGGACAAATGGCAAAACATAGATTGATTGGGTTTTGTGGAGAACATGCAAAGACCTTAAAGATACATCTGCAACAAAGGAGGCGTGTACGATTTCTAATTTGACTCCTAAAATTTTTTTTTATAATTACACAGATTTTATAATGAAAGAGCAATGCAATTAGTCTGTGAGATTTTTTGAAGACCATTTTTCTCTGTTTAAATCATGATTTCCCACCTTTTCTTTTACCAATTACAAAAACAACCTCACAATAAGTGACCTTGACCAAGTTTTTTTTTTAATGGAAAACTTTCAAAGAGACAACAGGAATTATACATGTTATATACGAATACGTAACTAACACTACATTTTGTTATCAAAGTATCAACAATTTCATCGACAGATAAACCATAATGCTTTTGATAATGTTATATTTAACAGCAAATGTTCTATCAAGTTTCGATCTTAACTGCTTGAAAATTTTGCAACATTGTTAAGTTTCTTTTTGACTTTTTGTTTGTTTCGTGCATTTTTCATTTAAAATATTTGCTTCGTTTACATTTGTATTGTTAAGTTGTCGTTTAATATAGGTTAGATCCATTTTCTGTTATTCATGTAACTATCAGTGCTACAAATTCTTAAATTACAAACTGCTTTATACTCTTTAATGCTTGAACAAAATATTTACAGATCCAAACATACCGTCGTAAATATCAATTGTATCGGATGCGTCGATGTCATAATGGGTGATGAAGATGATAACAGTTTCTGATGAACTTCCACTGTCTATTAACCACGAACATGATAAGTCACTGAAATAAAAAAAAAACAATAAAAAAAAAAAAACAGCGCATTATTTTATTTTCGTAATTTGGCTTCAAATCTTAAAAAAAAAACCCTTAATAGTTTGTATAATGGCATTGTCGATGAAGGAAAATACCCGGTTAACCGAGATAGGTATCGTCTGCTCTGATCCACGTGCTGCATTAAAACAAAATACCTGTTTAATTTCTTTATATTGACAAATAATTTGATAACACTATGTAAATAACTTCGATGACCGAAATATAGATATAATTTTTATGTAAATGATACAGATTTTAGTTTTCACTACGCGTGTTTCTGGAAAGTTCTTCGTTTCTCATGCATCGTTTTGAGGTAGTTAATGTTTTATCCCGGAGTTGTACAATACGGAATATTATTCAATAGGCTTATGTATTACCTATTTAAGTGATACAAAACTTATAATTTATTGCATGAGCTTTACCTCGTTGAAAATCAGAATAAACTTTTATATATTCATCTAAGACTTGAACTTACTTGGCATATGAACCGGAACTATATCCATCAGAGGTCACTGTTGTCAGATCATCTGTTGCTGTTAATGTTAAAGCTGAACCAGAACACTGACTTGAAACTTAAAAAAGAAAGAAATATAATATAGCGCACTTTGAAATCATAGCTTATAGTAAAATTCCGATCACAATTGAAGATATTCAATCTGTTTAACATCTGATAAAAAAAATGATACCATACTAGTCTTCAACATGCGTCTATACGATATTTCAAGCGCTAAACCGCCCTGGGTCAAAAATGAATTGAAACCTAGTATATGAAATAAAATCTATCAAAAATATGTCATCAAACAAAAGTCTTAAAATAAAACAAAACATTAAGATATGACATGAATTAACCACCGGCGAGTGCCCTGCTTTGAACCATCGCCTCGCCTGAAAATGTTGTTGTAGTTTACATCGAAATCGATATTGAAATTTTAGCATGCAATTTTATAAAAAAAAAACCTAGTGTTCCAACCTCCAAAGTAGGCAAAATTGACCACCAATAGTGTGGATGTTCTGTTCAGTCCCCTTTTGGTAATAAAGCTTTCCTGTATTAACCCATCATGTGTTGCCCCATCTTTAGACTGAGCGTTTCTGATAAAAGATAGCCCAGAAATTCTTACCCAAAGTACAAAGAATCAAAGACCCCCCCCCCCCCCCCCCCTTCAGAAAAAAATGAAAAAAAGGGTAAATATCCAAATTCAAGACCTCACAAAACCAATAAAACCAGGTATCAGCTTAAGGTGATACGAAGCATGTGTCAACGAGACAGTAACTTGACAATACAATAAAACCAAAAGACCTTATGGTGTCAGCAAACGGTCTACAACAACACGCATGTAAACATCTTTATCACATGTCAACCTCTAACTCGGTTATTCTGGAAATTTTACAGAAAAAAAAAAAAAAAACTACAGATATACCTCCCTCATGAGATGTTGACATTTGATAGTTGGGCTGTGATTTTCAACGTTCTTTTTTGTTGAACATTTCCCAATATAGTATCCCTCTTGGCTGTCTCAATTTCGCTCTGATTATTTACGATGAGATTAACCTAGAAACGTTCATCGAATGCATCTAAAACGGTATGTTTAACTATGATCTACTACATGAGTCAAGAAGGATTTTAAATCACGAAATCAAATATGATAAAAAGCAGAAGAAAAAATATCTGTTACACGGAGATATGCATGTGTATGAAAACTATATGTTGTGATGTGTAAATTTAAGTTTTTGCGGTTTTTGTTTACTGTTTGGTTAACCACTTGTGATTTGTCTAGTTTATAATGTAATTTTTAAATCTAAAGTGCTTTTAAAGTGTTCATACATGATGATTGTGTCAAGACCGTAAATTGAATAGTATCAATGTTATCCTACTTTTGCAAACTGTGACATTTGACTTTCAGTTGTCTTTTTTATTCGCTTGTTGTTTGATATTAGAATTGTCTCAATAGCGAAAACCGTCATCTCTAATTCTTCATATTTACTTTGTACATTGTGAAATTTATAGTGATTAGGACAGAGACATATATACACATATGTATATATGTCTCTGATTAGGATTATAGCACAATGTTGACTGCTGTACCCCTATTTTTGACATTTTTCCTATTATGTCTGTTTGTTTTGTTCACACATTGTTGTCAATATAATTAAATTGTATGCGACAGTCAACAAGTGAGAGGTTTAGCTAGCTATAAAACCAGGCCGTTTAATCCACCATTTTCTACACAAGGAAATGCCTTTGCCAAGTCAGGAATATGACAGTTGTTTTCCATTCGTTTGATGTGTTTGAGCTTTTGATTTTGCCATTTGATAAGGGACTTTCCGGTTTGAATTTTCCTTGGAGTTCGGTATTTTTGTTGTTTTAATTTTTGTTTTTTATGTGCAGTTATGTCTAATTCACACCAATTATTGATTGATTGATTGATTGGTGTTTAACGCCCCCTTTAGCATTATGGGCTATTTCTTGGCGGTTTGTTTTTTTGTGTGTGCAGGAAGCCGGAGTGGCTGGAGAGAACCACTGACCTTCGGCTACATCAATTAATACTTGTACTTAGTACAGAGAAATTCCTACTCTCACCACTAGTTTAATATGGAGCGAATTGACCCCTTTTTCCTCTGTCTTTTCTGTTATGTGAACAATGTACATATTAACAAAGCAAATATAAAATACTAGTGTATCCAATTTTTTAAGTTTGTACTTTGTTTGATATAGATTTCATTAAAAAATATTCTTACCTGATGAGATGAATTTTAGAGTTAAGACACAAATTAAGCACACTATGTTTGGTACTGTTGGCGTGACGGACATTTGCAACCTACAAGCAATTGAAATAAACATTAAATTTTAACATACAACTTTGCAATATTTCATAATTAAAAGTGCATTTTGACATTTGCAATCTATCTCAATTTGTTGACGGTTGTTAAATGATAAATTGTTATTTTAAAACCTACATGTTGGATTTTTTTCATTACCCTAAAAAATGTTTTTCAAACCTAAAACAGAGGTAGACGATACCAAAAAGAATGTAATAATAATTCGAAGATTAACCGACAATACCATGGCAAAAAACGAGAATGACAAACAGACAAACAACTGTCTACAAAACACTACATAGATAGCTTAAGACTGAGCACCATGATCCCCGCCAAAAATACGGGGTCATCTCAGGTGCTCCTGAAGGGTAAGCAGATCTTGTTCTACATGTGGCACCTATCGCGTTTCTCGTGACAAGTATGAATTCGGTGACAAGTCTTATTCGATGACGGAATTATCGAAAACGAAGAAAATAGAACGGGATTTTGACTATGACAATTTGAACATATCAATGGTCTTCTGTGACATAGATACTCCTTATCGGTCAAACCAATTATGACCGCGTCCATACGACTTTCGAAGGGATAAATTCATCTTTACTACTAGGAAACCTTGATTCATAAGCTTCCTGATAAGTACACAATCTATCTAGAAAATCGTGATAGAAAAACTCAATCTCCAGAATATCTTATCAGCTGGGAGATATAAACTCCACACAAAGGCGTTACTCAATTTTTGCTACATAGAAACGGAGAGTTCACAATAGGAAAGATGAAATAATATGATGTGTCGTTAAATTTAGTTCTTAATCGTACCTCATTGTCAATTTCTAGTTGTAAGTCAAGATTAATGGATATGTTTGGATTCTGATTTTTTTTTAGCTTTAAATTCATTCAATTGTACCAACGCTTAAACTTCATCCCTTCCAGGTCAAAATGGCCTTTCTCAATCAGTTTCAACCCTCTTTGTGCTCCAAAGCATTTAGGAGTTTGGCCTCCAAACCCTTTTGGTTCATGTTGGTTCAAGCGAACCGGATGGAAATTACTCTAATAACACTTGTCGTGCGCAAAGTAATTGGATTCATACGTCACGTGATATTTGACAGAAGATAAAAGAAATGAGAGACGATCTTCTCTTTTTTTTTGTCACGTATCTGTTTGAATTTGAATGTTTATTCATTTACACAATTAAAGTTTTAAAGAAACTGAAACTTTTTAAGAACATTAGATCAAACTAAATTGTAAAGTTTAAACAGAAATGAAAACATCAAAAATGTCAGAACTTTTACTTTGGTAATCACAAATTCAGTTATTGAAGCACGTATGATTGAATTACATATGTATTTATGTGTGATTTAAGACATAATTGGTCCTACAACCTTTTGACCTTCAATCAACTATCGTTTTACTTTCCAAATAAGAAAATGAAACAAAAATTGTAATTAAATTGATCTAAATTATTCAATTAGATCAAATTGAATGTTAAGTCATCTAACTCAGATTTTTAAAATTTAAGTATCCACGTGTGCCAGGGGTTTATCATTTAAAAATCATTATGCATACAAAAGAGCATTCGGAAAGTTATTTGTGCATAGTTAAACTTTCAGAGGTTGACACGAAAGAGTAATTTATTAGGTTTATAGTAATAAAACCTTTGTCATTGAAAGCATTGTCATTTTTTTTTTTATGATGTTCAGTTTTGACTATTTTATTGTATAAATTTCAAGATTGTTATAGATTTATAATAAGACTAAATTGATATGATCCATTTTACATCGTGATCATACTGATGAAGGATATCTGTTATCCGAAATATTTAACATATGTTCATTTCATTATTATTTTTTGGTGATGTTGTACCCTTTTAGACTTGTTAAATACAATATTTTGTAGTGTACTGTATCATAATTATATGATCCATAGTCCCGTAAGATTTATCGTTGGCTATTATTTAGTCATTTAATATGTATATATATTATATATATACAGATCTGTATACAATTTTCTTGACCGTTATATAAAAAAATTGTTTCCTTTTTTGCGAGCCTAGTCTTTAGAGTAAATCCTTTTGTCTTTTTTCAGGAATCTGTTCCAGTAAAATCTATATGAAGAAATTTAAAATTAAAAGATAATTTACACTTTCGTCTTGATTTTTTTTTTGGTACTCGTACCACGTGTCAAGATTGCCCCTCACTGCAACCCCACTTTTCTGGGTGATTTAGAAAGATGCAGAAAACAAAGTAAAACTTCATTTGGTACATTCGACTGATCGCAATCAAAAGAAGTGATGATGGTTAGAGAAGATTTGTCCTTTTTTTGTCAAGTTGACATATAGGATAGACAATTGATTTATGGTGAATCCTAAATGTTTTCCCTTTATTGTTGTGTAAATTCATTGTTTCGTCTACTTATAATGAAAAAAAATATACAGATGAAAAAAAAATCAAACAAAACAAAAAAAGCAAGAAAAGAAATCAGATACAAAACAAAAAACAAAAGTAAAATTAAATTAAATAAAACTTGCAGTTCAAAGAGACGTCGTTTTGTGGCCTGCATCATAAAAGCTTGATATAAATGATTCAAAAGAATTGTAATTTTAAACTGCATTAAATTAAATTGATAATATTAAGAATGAATTGGACATAATCACGGAAAATCCACCCTAATATCTTCATATCATTAAAAAAAAACATCACATAGTTTTAAGTTCTAGAGAAACTCTTTGAACAGAATAAGAAGTGGACCAAAACCTTATTTTAAAGGTTATATATATTACGTGGTAGCACTGACCTCATTAGTTTTAAACTTATTAATGTAATAAGTATAAGATATACCATTTATCCTTGAAAAAAGTATTTTAATTACACAAAAAAAAAGAAAAATTAAAAAAAAAAATATATGCAAATAGTTTTCAACTATATTGAACCAAGAAGACAATCACATAATATATCATGTCTATGTTCATATCGGCTTTAGGACTGAAACACACTCTTGTGTATGTCTCTCTCTCTCTCTCTCTCTCTCTCTCTCTCTCTCTCTCTCTCTCTCTTATTGTTCAAATCCAAACAGGAGAATATGAGAGGGGTGACCAAAATTCAATTTTAATCTTTACTGAAGATAATTGAAAATTTTCGTTCGAAAAACATTAATCATTTATGAATATTTTGATGCTATAATTATACTAACACCTATTACACATATCTGTACAAGAGGAAGTAAAGAATATATCTATACTTCGGACACTTAAGTGACAAAAATTATTACAATTTTCGTGTGACTTTGTACGGTACTTGACTATCATTTTTCTGTATTTGTAGTTACCATCAGCAATTTATTTATGAAGGACATAATACCACCCTTATAGTCCGTCGACATAAACTGATAGATTGATTTTAGATTAAAATTGTCATTTTTCATAAATACAGTATTCAAATAGCTTAACAATATTGCGCTGTAATTTTCTGATTGTTTATCAGTTTTCCAACAATTTAACTATTATAAATTTTATGTTTAGTAGACCAACAGACGATTCATAACTTATCTATCTAGAGAACATTTTTTTTTCCTGTTTTTCGTCTTGAAAGTTGCTAAAGATGATTAAATTTTGTTACTAAATGATGAACTGTAGAGGTGACCATTTATGCATGTTCATATACTGTTTAGAACACCAAAATGTATCAACACCACTCATGAACTGAACTAAGTTTATATATTCCGTTGGTTTATAACATATCATTTTGCCAGTTTTCATGGGCTTCCCTTTTTTGGAATTTACTTTTGAGTTCGATATTTTTGTCTTACTTGTTTATCAACAGAATAACATCGCACTCATCCAAACGAAAAAAGAAAACATTTTTAACTTTTATAAACAGATAGAGGCTGCTCTGTTTATGTATTTTATTATAGAATAGAATAGAATAGAATAGAATAGAATATTTATTTTACCAAATCATGGCCCCAGGATGACATGTAACACATAAACTATATAATTATACATTATAAGAATAATAAAGTATATAATGCTTAGGTATATCCATATTTGTTTTCTAGTTTGATATTGCTTGTATTTCAAATTTCGACTTGGGTAGATTGTTACAGAGACGTGTATAGCATTTTCAGAACAACTGAGGCCAATTAAATAAGTCCTGAAAAAAAATGGTTTATTTTGCTTACCTTGATTAAAACAAAAGAATGATATGTTATTCCAGGTCATAGTATCTGCCTTTCTCTATATAAAAAAGTCTAAGTTTTTTCTGAGGTCGAATAAGTCCAAATTCGGCACATTGGATATGTTTATACTTTATTTTGGAATGTAAATAGAATAATAAATTCAAAATATCCAAATCGTGAGAAATATGTAATATTGTGTTACGAATTTTTCTTCATTTCATTAAACTATATAAATATCAGCTATGTCCACAAAAGAACGAAAGTATAGGTTTTTGTTTAAAAACTTTTTTCTTTACATTGAGGACACTTGAAGCACTCGTTATAGACCTTCGACAAACATTTATTCTCCTTGTTTTAATGATGTCCCAAGAACGGATTATATTAATACATCTGACCATAGAAAATATTATTATGATACCTTTTCATTCAATGTTTAAATTTCAGAGATTTTAAGTAGCACATTACAGATTTGGCATTTTTAAATGTATAAAGTTAAAGCAGATACAATCTTAAATATTGCAAATACAAAATGAAAATATTTAAAATAACCGAAATTAATACAAAACTTTAATATCAAGATATTAAATCTAAATATGCGTCCTTGCTTTACGTACTACCGAATGTAACTAATATAAATAGTATCTGTGTATGTTACATATCTAAGTAGAATTTTAGTCTGATTATGAACAAAGGTCAAAGTTCACGATGATTTGTCCATCTTCCTTGTCTTGTTTATGGACACATTTTTATAAAAAAAAAAAAAAAAAAAAAAAAAAAAAAAAAAAATCAGTTTTCTTTTTTCTTTTGTATTAGTAAACATTTTGTGCTG